AAACTTACGAAAACTAATGATTGTTAGAAACGAAAATGCAAAAATAACAACACTCGCGTTATGCTCAATACAAAAGAAACTGAATTACGTACCTTCGAGTTTTTGACGATGTTGGTTAGATGATGTTGATGACAAGGTGATGTGTACTGATGAGGGGGATGTTGATGATTTGATGAATTTTCTCCTTTTTAAATAAGAAAAAAAAAACAGCAATTAGCAAACAAACATCAAGGCTTCGATAAATTATCCGGCTCGAACGGACCAAAATGTTGGCGTGATACCGATAGAAATAAACCCAAAAAGAATAGAAAATAAAACAAGGATTATGTAATTGTGTATTTGAAAATACATATATCAAATGGGTTATTTGTAAAGTAGTGAGTTTCAAACGAAACGTTGTGATCACACGCATAAGGTAAAGTCTATGCGTGTGATCACAACGAGTACGAAAGAACAAGTATGTTGCAGATGAGCACAATAGCGGAACAAGGTCGTGACCATCATCGACGACCGCAGCATTGGAAAGTTCCTCTCTGCATCCGAACTGAGCGAATATGACTTTTAGGAGAAAGTGCAGAAGAGAGCGTAAGCTCTCCCCCACAATCCGAACTAGGCGAATGTGACTCCTAAAACAGAGGCAGAGAAGATTTCCCCATTGATCTCGAGTGAGAGGCCAATTAATGTAATTAATTGGAATGCAGGGGAATGGGGGACAATGTATCGAACATATACCTTGGCGTAACCAAAGTATCGAACATTTTATTGCGTCGCGAGACATTACAACCGAATAATTCGGTACCTCTGCCTACAAAGGATTCGGTCAGCTCCTCAAAATCGATATTGTCAGCTTCAGCCCCAGTTGCTTGTCTTTCTAAATGTACATCCTCAACATAGGTTGGAGTCTAGAGGAAGAAATCGGATATTGTTCGTTCAAATCGATATACAAAATGTCGACAATGAAATTGATAAATGTAAAAAAACTAATTTAGTTGCTGCAAAATCTTCATGCTTAATCCCTTTATTGTTGTTTTTATAAAAACATCGCTTGTTTATTAGTGGATAACGATGGATGGAATTTATCGGGAGGATGACATAAAACTAAAGTTAAATTTGTAAACAATGTGGTAAGACGACCTTGCATGAAATCGGTCTCGGAGAGCTTCCGGGGTAATTGCAGGAACTTCTGCGACTTCAAAGTATTATATTTCGTGAATTAATATAGATTGATTAAAGTCCCAATCTGTTACTGCAGATTTAACTACGACTTCATATTGACGTTGTAGCGGGATGGATCCCGAATCTGTTACTGCAAATTTATTTGCGTTTCCATTGCCCACAATTTGTCAGAATATAAAGCTCACACTGCATCACATCCCGTACATCCCATCGGGACTTATTTAGATTTATTTAAATTGTGTTGATGTAGGCTTTGATGTTTAAAGGGGGTCGGCATGTTTAATTTAGAATGGCATTAAATATTGTTTTTATTGACCTTGGCTTTGGTCCTTAATTATTCGTTAAAATGTACGCGCTACGTCGTCGTTGTCACTTTTTTTACCGCCTTCCTTAGACGTCATTAGTATTTCGCTGTCTTTCGGACAGACAAGACCAATATCGTTTGCAAGCGCACATCTTTGTTCATAAAAATGCATATTGTTTCCAAAGGTAATATTGTTACCCACCAACCAAAATAAGAATAAATACTTGTTTATATATTAAGACAACACTTGCGTTTTATTTATATTTACATAACCATACGGTCTGCTAATGGACGCATTCGGCGTTTCACCATCAGAGCCCCTTTGACATCAACAGATACCGTCAACCACATCACACTTTTTGAGGATGCAGAGAAAACTCCAAGTTTGAAGCGTTGGATAATCAATTATATGTGTGGACGCGAGTCGTACTTGGAATGCCGGAACAAGAAGTCCAAACACCGTAGAGTGAAACAGGGAGTTCCCCAAGGTGGGAACTCCAGATGGAGATCGTTACATATGCGGATGATTGTACGATCATGGCGTCGGGCCCCGATGTTGACACCGCGAGGAATATGAAATCAAAGGCTACACTCTTTACCACATGTTCTGCGGAGATCAGAATACAGCTGAATGTGCAGGTCGAGGAAAATATAATACCGACCACGAGCTACTCCAAGATCCTAGGGGTAACTTTCGACCGCATCTTTAAGTCTTCCGCGCAAGCCACAGTTATCTGCGACAAGATGAAAAGTAAGAACAAATTCTTCAAGGCACCTTGTTGACCAATTATAATGCGATAAATGGTCTGCGAATATAAGTGGAAGAATATCCAGACATGCCAGAATGCCCTGAGATCTGTGACAGTGCATAACAAACTGCTTACACAAACTAGAATAGTTACCAGAAGACCTCTGGTTACAGCCAATTAAAGTAACCGAAACTGGAGTTAGAACCACACTAGGAAAACTCAAATGTAAAATATGTAACTGTTACAACAACAACCACCCTAGTTAGGTTGGTTTTTATATAGGTCCACGTTTTTCTTATAGCCCTGATATAACTGTAACTCCAGATAATCGGCATTTTGACGATTTTAACCGTATTTTCCAAAGGTTTAACGAATAGTTAAGGACCAACCATCGGTCAATAAAAACCATATTAAATGCCATTCTAAATCAAACAAAAAATGTTCAAATCTTTCCACGTTGAAATCTTTGGTACGTTGTTCCCATAGCAATTGCGTTTCTTTCGGTAAACGGATCGGATTGTACTAATGTGTGAGAACGTTATAGATCAAAAACAAAAAATGCATCTATTACTATCTCGTCGGATCTCTTTTAGACCCGATGCAGTATCCCTTACAATAACTGGAACATTAAATAACGACTTCAGATGATGATGAACCAATATTCGGATACTGTTGTATGCTTTCCAAGCAACAGCAAAAACCACGATTTGTTAGATAAACGATTTCCCGAGTTTCTCCGATAGTTTTATTAAGCAAATAAAACATACATTCGACAGCACTCAACCCTGTATTATTTATTTATATGGTGCTTAACAAATTCCGAAATGAAGGCCAAGAAGAAAAATCTCCCTCAAAAATATCAATATCATTATATTCACTTTCTTCTAAATGCAGACACTCTTTGGTTATATTTTCCGAATTTTTTGACTCTCGCGTCGATTTATAGACGGATTGCCATCGATTTTCTAACTTACTCCTCTTTCCTGTAACATGCTGATATCTGAATCATCATCTTTTATCGCACCGATTTGTCTTTAATCGCACCAAATTACATTAGAAATACGATTGAAAGGAAACAAAACAAAAGGAAAAGAGGTGAAGTTATAAAACGACATTTGTATTGTCACGACATTTTAATGACCCGAGTTCGGTTTGAAAATACTGCATACATACAAATAACTACTACTGTGATTTGTGGAAAAGGGTGAGAACTTTTGTCAGGTACTCTACTCCCGGGGTACACATCTGTTTCAATATTTCGTCTGGACCCAAAGCTTTCGATGACTTAGGGTTTCGGATGACATTTGCAACATCACCCATAGTAAACTGTGGCGGTGCCTCCTTGGCAGTAGGAGATCTGATACGCCGTAGTACTCTTCGCTTCGCTATATCGCTCTCCAACGCCAATCCCCCACCCCTTGCGCATTTCTTCCTCAGTATGTTGTGACCACACCAACGTTGTAAGTTATAATTCTTATTGAGCTTGGTTTACTGCACCGCAGCGATGAAAATATTCCTCCGATTCATAAATTCCATCTATCCGGAGTTGGAACAGCAATATGTGGCGTGAGATGGTCCGGTATGGGTAGGTGTTCATGAGATTGCAATGGAGTTCAGTACTCAGAAGAGGACGACGAAGACGTATCGGTCCACCCCTTCTAATACCTATTCCACATTTAAAAAGCAAATAAACTTTAAGTTAACCAATTCTTTGGACTTTGTTTCTATTCTCAACAGTTGCTTCATCAGTGCACTGAAAGAAAAATGCTTCGTTGTATCAATGAACCGGTTTCGTTGATTTTTTTCATTGATGCAATGAAAAGCTACATTAATATAATAATTTTTTGTTCATGCAATGAAAACTTACGTTGCTTTTAAAATCAATGATTTTTGGTCTCATTGAATATATGAAACGGATTTCATTAATATTACGAAACTAATTATTTTTACAAAATTCAGTAAAAAATGTGAATATTGAAATGATACATAATAGCGCTGTCTTATACAAACAAATACGCAACCAAAGTATTAACAATTAGTGGGAAAATTGTGATAATTGTTATATTTAAATTTGTGCTCCAATTTAATGAAATGGATGAAACGTTACATTATGGAGTTCGTTATTAGACCACAAATACATGGGTCAGACTTGCTGACATGCATAAACCGACTCAGAACGTGATTTTATAAAGATCATACAAAAAAGTAGGGTTTATCTCGCGTATTAGACCACAAATATATGGGTCAGACTTGTTGACATGCATAAACCGACTCAGAACGTGATTTTATAAAGATCATACAAAAAAGTAGGGTTTATCTCGCGTATTTCTACCTGTTACAAACGAATGCACAACGACAAATTACCCACTACCACAGTGTGATGTAGGTATTAAGAAGTAAAAAAGCAAAGTTCGACAGGATCGAGCTTTTAATACCCTCCACCATTTTCATTTCACTGAATCAAGGAAGAATTTTCATTATATTAATGAACAATTTCGTTAACTTTACATTAATGAAACTCAATGAAACTTTTTTCATTTATTCAATGAACCTCTACGTTGGTTCAAAATCAATAAGAAATTTCATTGACGGAACGTAGGATTTAATTTATGGTATGAAGCTTTTTCTTTCAGTGTGTAGCTCTGTCAACACTTCCAACACTAATAATACAATATGTAAAAATTACCTTTTGTATGTAAAGCTGAGGGCTTCCATTCCTGATGTTGAAAACTTTTCCTGATACAGGTGTCCATAAGGGGTAAGGTCATATATGGATATTGATCCCAACCGTCCATCTATAGATTGCATATACAAATCTCGGTTGATATGAAGTTTAACGTTAGAAACATTCGCCTTAGCCAGTTCAGACTCATTCCTTACCAAAATCAAGTTTAACGATCGAATTGTTACCAATAACTCCTTTGAGGAAGAAGATTTATCTGCAGGGAAAAACACAAAAAATTCTATTTACATTTTTAATTTATTTTTATATATATATATTTTCTTAATCGAACGTTCCCATGCCTCACATTCCCACCCCTGCCAACCGAGGGGGCGATCTCCCTTTACGCAGGGATCGCGTACATATCATGATCCGCCTCATAATGGGAATTTAGTAGGAAATTGAAAACCAGTTACAAAATCTAATTCATCAGCTAGTTTGTCAAATAATAAAACATGTATTTCAATTGTTTAAAAATAAAATTATTATAGATTTAATAACTTCTAGACTCATACCAAATCTACATTATAGTACACAGAATTAAAGTCAACACACATGTTATTAACCCTCGAATACTATCGTCTATTTCACTTACGTCAGTACTATAGATGGGTTGTTTCCATCCATATAACGTTAGTATTTGGTTTTCTCAAATGACATGAACTTATATAATAACTGATTTGTTTTTAAGACTGAATACCCAACTACTGAAAAACAGCAAAATTCTATGTTTAATTCACTTATTTTATTTTATTTAATGATTTGGTTAGGAATATAACAATTAGAAAAAAAATTAAAAATGCACTTTGCAAAAACAGCTTCAACTTCTTGAGTTTTTGCATCATGATCCTTTAACGGACTAATTTGGAAAGCTGAGAATATATAAAAGAAAAAGCTATTTAATAATTTTTTTTTGGCATAAAGTAAAATTTTTTCTTAAACGTGATCTAAATACTTACAAATTTAAATTACTCATTACAGCATGTAAACATATCGTCATAGATTAAGTTCGTATCTTGCAAAGCTGGTCCATGGCAGTACGTACAAAGAGGGTTGGTGTGACTTTTGACACCTTTAGTTTTATTGTAAAATTCAACAATCTCTGGTAAACACTTTGGACCATCCAGTATTTTTCCATCTCTATAAAATGTAGAAGCAACAAAACACACTTATTCCGTTTTGGAATGTACGATAAGATTGTAGATTTTTCTAAATCCAAAAATGGTTGATTTAACTTCCCGATTTTTGGGTTGAGAAAATGAGGGGGGTAAGACACGCTTATTCTTTCGCATGGTTCCAACAGGTGTAGTTTTTTCCAACAAGTATTCTGCTAGACTGTAAGACGTAAACCAATTGTCAGTCGTTATATTTCGACCCGAGTTTTGGAGATGTTGGGTTATTCGTCTTACTACTGCCTCTGCTTTATTTGATAAATTATATGGACCCAGTGGTTGTTGGCCGCAATAGATTTCCAATTTAGATGTGTAATATGTTGTTGAATCCACCGCGGAAAATATTTTTATATCATACTTTGCTGGCTTATTAGGAATGTATTGTCTAAAACTGCAGCGTCCACGAAAGCCTTCCAATTTTTCATCAACCGTTATATAACTATGCAGGAAAATTTTTTTCACAATTCTGATTGAACATTTCAAATATTCCTCGTATTGGGACTGGTTTATATAATTTTCGACGCTCCATACGGGTGTTAACATCGTCGAAATGAATGCATCGCATTAGAAATAAGAATCGATTGAATGACATGGTGGCTACAAATATTTCTAACCCAGTACCATCTGACGCCCATAAATCTCTTACGTTTACATGTGAAGACTTGTGTAGACTACCGATATACAACAATCCAAATAAAGCATTTATTTCATCTCTATGTGTTAAAAGTGCATTTTTCAAATCTTTGTATTTTATTTATTCAAGATGTAAATGTTTGTTTTTTCCACAACAAGGTCCACAAAATTAAAAAAAAATTGCCCAACTTTCAAAAGGAGTAGTTACGTTTTGTGACGTAGCTGTTACTTTTAGAGCATTTGTTAAAATATTTTCAGCCGTTGCTCGCGTTTTTGGAAATGGAACATTTTGCCAAATACTTCCATCTTTCCCAATGTATTGCACTACATCATTATCTTCATTTTTATCAAATTCTTGCTCAGTATCAGAGTCATGATTGCTCATAATTTCCTCATCACTGCTTTCACCACCAATATTTTCTTCTTGATCCAAGTCAACATCTTATAAAAGCGCCATCAGTCGCTCTTGAAAAAAGAATTTCTAACCACACTTGGCGTAACTGTACACTAATTTATAATCTACTTTTAACACAGAAAACCATGCGTTGTTAAGCGAAAAGTGACAGCATTTCTTGCAGTATTTTTTGGGGGAGGGGTGAGCGTGAAGTGTCTTACGCTCTTTACTGCATAACTATTTCATTCATTATCTGCCACTGCCGTACCTTTTGTGTACCAATTCCAAGGAAAATATAATATTATTTTATACTGATATATTTCAATACTGATAACTATCGTGGGTGTAAAACACCCACAATTGCGGATCGCCATTACTATCGAGGGTGTAAACCACCCAAGGCTTTCAATAAACCTGCTTTATATAAAAATTACCATACTAGTAGCTGTAAATAATGCTTTTTTATATCAATAACTATTTAAATGAGGATTACATTAATTTTAGTTAGGATTTTCATGAAAAATTATAAACTTCTCTAAGAAATTCAGCTTTATGGGTGGATTCCACACAGGCGATAGTCCTTGAGGGTTAAGAGGTTCGCCTATTGAATAACTCGTGCGGTGAAAATCGGTATATAATAATTGGTAGTTTCCACTAGATCTGAACGGAACATTTATTCTAATAGATGAGAATCTGAAGGTATATTACCATTTAATATTTTTAGTACAACATAATATGTCTGCTTTTAAGTGTAGGCAATCTAATTAATTTTAGCCAGCTAGCATAAGAAGGCAAACAAAAAATTACTATTCCAATATAAACCTCGTAAGGCCAAAAGCCGGAAATTTTTTTGCACGGATTCTATTTTATCTGAGTATATTGCATAGGGTAAGTGTACCAGTAGTCGGCACTTTTAGGATTTTAGATTTTTCAATCTTTCAACACTCTGAGTGAAATTTTTCAATTGCAGAAAAATAAAGTTGTTCAGATTCCAAACTTTGTTTAGTTTTCGAAATAATAAACAAAAATTGAATTTGTTTTTATTAAATTGTCAATATTTGCAATTTTACTAAAATAGTAGTTTTTTGCCAGTAGTCGGCACCATTTTCCAATGCTCGGCATGTCCATTTGCCAGTAGTCGGCATATGGTATTTCAGTAAAAAAAATATTATTTTGTATATATTTTTATTTCAAATAGTATAGTTACTAATTCACAGTTTAATCCAGAATTTGAAATTAACGACTCAAAACTATTATTTTATCTGAGTAGTTTTTGGATTATTTTTTAATACTTTTCTCAAGTTTTGGTGAAATTGGTCAAAAATGATATTTTTCTAGCAATCGGCACTCCCCGCCGACTACTGGCAAACCTCTTTTTTTCTGTCCCTAATGTCGGCATTAAATTATATAGAAAAATGCTTGATTTGTATGTTTTTAAGTTATAAAATGATCTTTAGACTATTATTTACTGTTATAGAATATTTCCAAAAATATTAAATTTAATTTACTCAAAGCGATTATTAAGTTGACGCCACCACTAATTTTTCCTTTACAAACAAGCACTATCGCACTCGTTGGAAGACACTCACTGACGAAAACCGTTATTCTCTCGTAATAAATGATCGGAGCTCATTTTTTACAGGAAGAGAGCAGAGAACACTGTTGTCGTTTTTTGCAATTATTTCATTATTTGGTCAATTCTATTCTTAGTTATTTAAGTTTAAATTTCCAAACTGCCGACTACTGGGACATGCCGAACTTAGACACACTTACACTTATAGGTTTAACAAGAGACGTAAAAAACTGTTTCGTTATATATGGATCAGAAAATTCTTTGGTCCACCGTTTAATAAAACCTAAAAGAACTTTTCCTATATTTACCATTGTTATTATATATTATCAATTAACCTAAAATTTATAGCATAACAAAATTGTATTGTTGGAATATCACCGAAATGGCATAAGACCGGTCTGCTTGACAATGAGAGAAATAACAAATATATATTAATATATATTAATACAAGAAAAAGAAACTATACATGGAGTCGACCATGTGATATGCTACACTATGTAAGGCTTTGGTTGGTCCGAACCCAACACCAATAGATTGTTATCGGTACCTTAGTAGAGTTGTATTAAACAACAGACAAATGTTTAGATTCGAAGTTTTCTGCAACTCAACTGCAATTGTAGATATTGTTCATTATGGAAAATTTTTCATACTCGTGATATAGCTGATCGTGAAAATTGACAAGCTACACAAACAACTTCAGAGCCCATTTAATCACGGTTTACACAACGGGCTTCTCTTCGGTGCGATGCCTGTTGTTGGTTTGTTCACCTCAATTTCTCTGAAAGTAATGGTAATTAATTGCTAATTATATGTCGTGGAGTTTCGTTATCCATTAAAATATACTCGTTAATACCAATAACCTTCTGGATTAGAATTTATTAGTTCAGCTCTGTTCCTATACAACTCGAAAGAGAAAATTATCAAATATCTATCAACAAATGATATTTGCCTTAATAAGCCAAAAGTTTCAAATAAAAAATAATTAGTTTCCAATTAAATTTAATTGTGGCATCTAACGTAAAAACATTAGAAATTGCATTTGCGTATTTGGTGATGATACTATGGTAACTAGTACATAATTAAATATTTATTCCAAAATCTCATTGAGTGCCTTGCAAAACAGACGGCCTTTTTATATCCCTTTTCCACAACAAACAATACACAAATCTCGCGAATCATGGAGCAAATTTGTTTACAAATGTGAACATTCAAATTTTCAACAACAACAGCAACCCAAACGAAATTCCAACACAGTTCTATTAATAGACAAGGCCCCGTCAACGAATGCTGATTTCGTTCAGTTAAACAAACGCAAAATAAGTGTAGAGATATAAAGATGTTTATAAGTGCGATTTAGAAGAATCTTTTATTCCTCTTCTATTGCACTTATTCCCAGAAAAAAAATGTTAAGATCTGTCTCCACTAATATTGATGGATTAATCCTA